ACATTCTATGTAAAATTTTGAGTTTTTAAACCCGTGTTGCACAAAAAGTATTCAATGCATCAGGCTCGTATTCATTGGCCGCGTTAATCGTACTTTGACCTTTCGATATTCAGAACTGATTTATTTTTAGCTCCATCAGAAACTGAATTGCTTATGCTAACGAGATAAATATTGTAAGCAAGGATTCCCCTATAGGGAAATAATGTCTAAGCTCTTGTTTTCCTGTATAAGAAAGAAAATGAAATGACAAAAGGAATCTTTTAAGTTGAACCTGTGATGGAATTTCATGTGGGAGGGAGAGAGTTCCTTTAAAGACGTGCTACTTGTGATAATCAATTATTAATTCTGTATTTACTTTTTTACCTGATAAAGTTGAAAGGACGTAAAATGATTCTACAAACAGAAGGAGCATCGATTGCTACAAGGTCAATGTCTACCTCGGTTGATGAAAATGGCAACTTTTGCTTTAAAGTACCATCAGGGACTCATACCATTCAGGTAAAATGAAATAAGCACAAAAAGGATTTATCATTCTGCTATCAGTGATGTAGTGTCCAAAATTGGAGATCGAACACCAGAGTCAAAAATTGGAGATCGGACACCAGAGTCCAAAATCGGAAATCGGACATTAGTGTCCAGAATCGGAAATTGGACACTACTGTCCAAAATCGGAAATCGGACACTACTGTCCAAAATCGGAAATTGGACACTACTGTCCAAAATCGGAAATTGGACATTACTGTCCAAAATCGGAAATTGGACACTACTGTTCAAAATCGGAAATTGGACACTACTGTTCAAAATCGGAAATCAGAAATCGGACACTACGGTTTTCAAAATCGAGCACTGGTGTACAAAATCGGAAAATCAAAAGTGGAGGAAATTTATTCAAACCCCTGTTTACTAAATTGTGGAACTGTTCCAATGTAATCAATGCTTTTCGACATCAAATTTGTTCTGATATTCATACTGACTGGCTGAGTATTGTATTCCTTTATTTCTCAGCCAATAATAGCCATGCAAGAAGTCACCGCTGGCTTGGCATTAACTCCCACAGAACAAGTCGTGACGATAAAGAGTAGTCCAGTTATTGGCATAACATTCTCACAGTTCAGGGCAACTGTTACTGGGATTGTCAAGTGTATTGGTAAGTTGTTGATAACATGTAGATCAGTAGTGGATTGTCATCAGTATCTGGAGAGAGTTGAAGTTGAAGTTCAATTATAAAATTAAGTGCGCCCTATATCCCACCCATCCCACCCCAGGGGAGGACATCCATCACACAGTAATCTCGTGTGTGGGAAATTAACGTCTCCTACCCCAACCCTGCAGGAGACGGGACCTCCATTTATTCGTCCCTATCCGAGAAGACTAGAATATCTAACCATTTCTTGATGTTATAGAAAGGTAGCAAATTCTTCTCAATTATTTTAAGACCTTGAGTGTTGGTCCTGCCGGGGCTCGAACCCTCGACCTCCCGCACTACAGTCCAGCGCTCTATCCATTGAGCTAACCGGGAGGCGGTTAGCTCAATGGATTTAGTGCAAAAAGAGAGATTTAGTGCAAAAAGCGTTCTGGATACATGAGGTCTCATGTAACCTCTTGTCCTTAGTAGTCGTCCCGTTAAAAAGAGTGCAAGTTTGTTTGGGAAAAGATTTCCCGCACCCTTAGAAACTTTCGTGTACTTTGTCCAAGGGCTACCCACACAGACAGAGGTAACTCTTTTCCAGGTTGAATGTTCCAAATTTCATATTCAAATGCACTACGTACAAGATAAGTTACAGGCGTTTCTAGCCCGTTAAAGTAGTTTATATTTTTATTGCATGGCTACTCAGGTGGCTCTTGTAGCGGAGTCTCTGTTACACTTCAGTCTGTGTCAAATCCAAGCCTTCCAAAAGCACAAGTCCAGGTAAAGATATATGTTCTTTCACATCACTGCGTCGATTATTTTGGGCAAATTTATACCCCATTCACGCGGAAAACATGTTTAGTTAAAGTGGGTTTAACTGAATTAAAATTAAAAAAAAAAAATTAAAAACTGAGTTTCTTATAGGTTTGAAGTAGTCACTGACTTTTATTTTCACTGTGCTAAATTTAAGTAGATAACCATTGGTTTAAGCAACTTTTATGAAGAAAATACTTTTCAAATGTATTTAAAAAACCAGCTTTAAAACATGTTTAAGCTTTGGTGTGAATGGGGTATGAGTCCCTTAACTTTTCATGTCCAACTGTTTTCCTCAAAAGTAAGTAATCATTACGTGTACTTTTCATTGCAGGTGGCTGAAACTTCTTTCATGTTTAAAGATGTCTTTCCTGGAAATTATAAAGGTACTGCTAGTCTCAAAAGAACTACCTATGGTTTGAACGTCTTGAAAAATGTAGCTTGAGTTCTCCCGGCCATGTCAAACCACCTTAACCATTACTTATTGGTTTAATTTTTTTTTGTGTCGGCTTTTTACAAACTGATATTTTCATGTTTCTTTCTGTTTAAAGGTGATTCTTTATGATGCCTAAAAGTCGCACGGGGAGGGGGTGGCTGGGGGCACTAGTTTCTTACGGTTAACTAGTACATTGTATAGGATTTGAGGCGATACTCTCAGTAATTTCGCGCTAGGAAAACTGGTTATCGTATCTCGCCTCGTTAAAACGCTACCTATGGCGCTCATTAGCTTTTTAGCATTTTCGATGCGTTGTTTTTAAGGGGAGGACGGTGTTTATTTCGACATCACATTTCTTCAGTCAACGATATCAATTTTTACTAAATCCTTTGTAAATATTATGTGGCAAAGAAACTTGTTTTGAGTTCTCATTTCCCGCTCTTCGGTGACAATATCCATCTGCGATGTTCATTCAAGTGCATACGGTAGGTGTCAACTGTAGAAGGCTTTCACAATCACAACATTTCAACTTGATGAGGTTGATAATTTTCATGAATTGCAGTGTCAGTGTTAGAAGAATCTTGGTGCTGGGAGAGTTCTTCGTTTGAGTTCCAAGTGTCTAAAGCAGATGTCACTGACCTTCAGTTTGTCCAGTCTGGATTTATTTTAAAATGTATCCTATCTCATGACATAACATTGGTAAGTGCTGCATTACTTTATACAACTTTTTTTTTATATATTTGTCTGTTCAATTATTTACCACCGTTGTCATCAAAAGGGGAGAGAATATGGAAGTGTTTAACTTAGAAGACATCAGACAGAGTGGAACCGATTGGTTTTGGATCGCAAACAACAAACTGTGATGGGATAACTTCAATAATGGGGTTATGACTTATTGCTTGATCATCCTGTGATTAGTCCGCTACAAACGCTTTTCTGCCCATATATTCGTACTTTTCTCGGAAATGGCTCGGCCGCAAATTTTTCCAGGTGTTCTCTCGTTCAGTTTTGAATGAAAATTAATCTTGCAGCCATTTTTAAAATTTTATCAGTGTTGTTTTGGAAAAAAAAACAGACAAAACGCAATATTCAATGATGGAAGTACGTTTGTGCTCCATAGGTTGTAATTAGCGACCACTCACAGAACTTGCGCTGTTCAGTTCATTGTAGACATATAATGACTTCAATAAAAATTTACTCTTTCTTGATAGTTTTTCTCGCTGGAATCTCACAAAGAAATGGAAGATTCCTTCGACTTACCAAAGGGAACCAAGACTTTCTGTCTGAAGGAACCAGGTAACAGAATTACTACCCCATATACAAACGTTGTGGAATGCCTGTCCATTTTATAAGGCACTAATATTTCTTGTCAAGATTGATTTACACTCAAAATTTTTTGTCTGGAGTACTTTTCTTCCTTTTGTTGCATTATCCTAGCGTTTCATTTTTCATCTGGAACTTTTGAGACCCCTCAACTCGCAAAAATGTTTCAGTAGGGGAATAATGTAAACTGTTAAACGGCTCCACGTCTAAATTAAAAAGAAAAAAAAAAAGGCCAAGGCACAGGCCGGCTTTGAGTCACAACCAGGCACTTAGTGAGAATTAGATGAAACATGTTAGACTCTGGTACATTTGCATGGGCGTGTGTATCGTAACTTGAACTTGAACTTTATTTTTATTTAGACACGGTAGACCTATCAGGTAAAATTATAATATTATTACAATCTATTATTACGATTACATTCTACTTTAATCTATATAAACATGATCTAAAATTTAAAAGTGAAATAGAAAAAATAAAAGAAATTCTGCTTTACATAAATGCCGTGTGGGTCTTGTCGAATTCAGACGAAGAAATCGCTACTAGTTAGGCTACTAGATCTCGATAATTGAAGATTAGCATTCCTTCTGGTTTCTATACAGCCTGTTGCATGTCCTAACTTAACGCTTTCTACGCTCTGACGAAGGGTTTATACTCGAAAAGTCAGCTCTAGAAACTCGTGACATTATCAACTCAGTTGATAAAACCGAATTATCTAGTAATATCATCCACTGGCGCAGCACCGCAGTTTTTTTAGACTTTTACCACCTTAATTCGTGAAACTTATTTCAGTCTGTTTGTTTATTGTAATTTGCAGGAGTTTACAATTTGATGCCACGCTCATGTCATCAATTTGAGCAAGAAGTGTTCAAGTATAATACGTAAGTTCTTTCATCGTATGGGAAGAGAAGTGAAGAGGAAAAAAAAACATAATCCGTTTTAAGAGCTGAGGGAAAACTCAAATGACGAAGCCCTGAGTTATTTTAGTTTTACGTCCGATTAATAGAGGGGTGGTACAATTTTCTAAATTCCATCACAGAGCACAGTAAACAAAGAACTGTTCTCTAAGAACAGTGTTCTGTTAACTGGCTCAATTCGAAGGACATATGTTTGTTTCCAGTTCCGCGCCGTCCGTGTTGACATTAACAGCCATGAAACATTTACTCTCTGGCACAGTCAAGACTCAAGAACCCACAAGTGACATTACAATAAAGATCAGGTTTGATATGGTTTTTGTGATTTTTATGGCAAGCTTAACTTTTACAGTCGTTTTCTTCTTCGTTCTTTGTGAGAATAGACTGGTAGCCTTTCGGGTTAGTCAGGAGAGTCTTGTCATATCAGAGATCTTTTGTGACAGCACTGTCGAATTCAAGACAGAAAATGAAGTTCGAGGTTCTTTGATTTGTATACAGTTGGGCTGTTACTGAGTTCCTGACTGTGATAATCTTGCGAATTATTGGACATTCTTCGGCTTACTAGCGTACTATGTATTCTTTAGTTACAGTCGTAAAACAGTGTTAAGTTGAAGTTTCTCCATTCCCTGTTTGCGTGATAATATATTGCTAGTTCAAGACGAAGGTACACCTAAAAAACAGAATATGGTGAATTTGATTTTTTTTATAATTAGGTCCCTGAAGTCCAAAGAGGTTGCCATCCTCGGACCACTGAAACCGGAATCAAATGAAAAGAAAGATGAGAGTAATGCAAACAGCAGCAAACCAGAGGAGGGAAAACAACAGCTTTCATACAACTTTTCAACTTGGGGAAGGTAAATGAATGCTGTTGCGATGGTTTTTATTTTCTTTTTCATCGAGTGGCGAAAGGCTATACTTGAAACCACATGCACTTTCGATTAATAGGTACAATGTATTGTGACATTTATAATGCTTTTATCATATAATCTCGCTTACCGACAAGATGCATATGAGATTAAAAAAGGATTTCTCATTTTTAACAGGCGCGGCGAGGAATTGGAAATTACTCCAGTGTCTTCAGAACTGTTGTTTTACCCTGCAAACAAAGTTGTCACCATCTCTGGTAAGGGATCAAAGGGCTTTTTCAATTTTTTCTGGTATAATCCTCAAAGCGTCTCAACCTCGTTTCCAGGGTCGCTCATCTTCCCATCCCCCGGGAGCGAGAGAAGAGAGCGGCTCCTGGGGGCGGGAAGATGAGAGACCCTGGGAACGGGGTTGCAAGCGTCTTTGAGCGACAAGCAACTGATTTCCTCTCGTAGCATCGTGGATGAATCAAACATTAAGGTCACATGAATAAAGGAAACGATCACAAACTAGAGAAGCTCTTGATTCTTAAACAATTTGTGACTGTCAGCACCTGAGGAGGCGTGTGAAGAAAAGTATGGGGAATATGAATACTGATGTTGGGTTGTAAAGGGTGATTGTCAACATCTCAGGAAGCGTGTGGAGAAAAGTATGGGGAATATGAATACTGATGTTGGGTTGTAAAGGGTGATTGTCAACTACATCCTTGTTTGATTAGCAGAACAAGGTCGACGAGGGCGTACGAAAATGAAGAAATGATAGCATTTCTTCTTTCGCTCGTGTTAATCAGAAATGTGATTTTTTTTCCTTTGTTAGATGACTGTCCGGCAGCATGGGCTGAATTTGAGGGAAGGATGGGTGTATTCATTGAGGGACAAATCACCCCTCCCCTTAGTGGCGTGCAGATTGTTATTTCATCAGGAGGAAAGGAGCCGATCACTGAAATTGAAGTGGAAACAGACACAAATGGAAAATACAGGTCTCTTCATTAGCAGTGTGACGATTTCTTAATGTTCAATGTATGATAAACAGCAAGTACACAAAGGCTTACACAGAGGTGGGTGTCTGGACAAACAGGCAGAGGAGATGGTACTGCATCAAGGATTTGCCACGGTTTACATATTTACCACTGAGATGAAAGGCCCAGTCACCCATTCGGCTTTGCGGCCGTTTGTTATTGTTTTGAAATGACCATCTGATTTCTGATAATTTTCGGCAATGGAATATTCGCAATGCATGAAGGGTGAAACTGGGCATTTAAGAATAGATAACAGACAGATCCCACTTATTCTCAAAAATCACATCTTTCTTCAGAAATTCTTTGCGTCATCATTATTTTTCAATCCTTATCTTTGTTTTTGTACAGTAACGTTCACTGAAACTGTTTCTGTTTTTGTAAAACAGGGTGGGTCCCTTGCATGGTGACATTGAATATTCGCTGGTGAGTGCTGTGGAAGAAGTTTTGCTATGTCTCTTTAGCGGCCGTATTTTACTGTACTGTTGCTGTAATTAAAAAGGTGTTTGATTTGATTTCTTCCCTCTCTTTTTGAACCAAATTGTATCACTCCTAGAGTTTTTTTTTTTTTTTTAGAATTATTATGACTTCCTATTATGCTGTAAACGGTTCGTGAGAGAAGTCATACCTATCAGCAGGAGAGGCTCATTTTGATATTACACCAAATTCTCTCAGCTGATTTAAGAGAGAGTTTGAGGATCTAGAAAGAGAGTTAACGATTAGATCAAGGATTTGTGTGTCATTATTTGCGTATGCATGTTTGTATTGGCAGGCTGCAAGCAAAGCGGGTTTTGTACTCAGTCCTGCGGCTGGTAAGAAAGGAGATTTTCAAGCGCTAAAGCTGGGACAGATCGACATTACGGTAAGAGTCACTGGGTGTGCAAACTTACTAACGCCTCTTAAGGTTTTCCTATCAGCTATTCTGTGAGACCACAACCCTTTAAATTCCTAGATACGATTGACCACTAACATCTCTCCACAATTTCGTTACGTTGTCCGGGAAGCTTCCGATGGGAATCGATAACAGCGTCAGCTTAACCCTTTGAATGCTAAGAGTGACCAGCATCTAATTTCTCCTTACATTATCACCCCTGAATCACACATTAAGGTTAAGAGAACATAGGAAATGATCACCAACTAAAGGAGCTCTTGATTGTTGACCAAATTCTCCTGGTCAGCACCTTAGGAAATGTATAGAGAACAGTATGGAGAATATGCATACTGATGTTCGGGTGTACAGGGTTAGGGGTGTTTTTCTTGATTTTAAGACCAAATTCTTAAAACTAATTTCTAAATACACATAAACTAGAGACAGAAGGAAGTAACCTGAATAATCAGGTCTAGTGAGTTTATGAATTAACTGATTTTGTGTGATTCCTTTAGGTAATCATAAGTTTCCTTTTCTATGCATTAAAAGTTACTTTAAAATGCACCTTCAAACTTTGTCTTACACGGCGAGAATTTATTATTTTCTTACGGTCATTGATTTGTTCTGTTCCAGGTGACAGATGAAGACGGCCAGCCATTATCGGCAGTTCTTCTGTCACTCAGTGCAGGACAGTTTCGTAGCAACAATCTCACTCTGGATAATGGCTCTATGGCTTTCACCAACTTGGTTAGTGTCATTAGTGGTGCAAATTTTCCTATAAGGAGGCTCTCTAGAATTTAAAGACCGCATGCTAGCAAGTATACGATCATGTACTTGGAAGAAAATAAACGCATGTTCTTAGCTGAGTTGCCTTGGGAGCCACCTTAAACTACCGGTGCCTGAGGGAAAGCAAAGCCAAAAACGTTTCGGACTCCTTTCGACATTCTGTCGGAAATCGTGCGTAATATTGTGATCTTTAGTCGTTTGTTACCCTTAGCGTGATTTTCGCTATGTTTGATCATGAACAATGTGACTTGAGAAACTGTCAAATGACACACCCAAAACAAATGATTGACAGTGATAAAAGATGAAGCAGAACACGTGAGCGGGGAGGAGACTTTTTTCTACAGTGAGAGCGAGGGGAGTTGTTGTTGATTTCGTTGTTAGCATTCGGTTATTGATAATAAACGAGAAGAAATTGGGATTTATGTGAGTGTGATGGTTCAATCTTGGAGGCAATTCCCAACAACATTCAACTGAAAATGCCTCTTACTACTGGTGGTTTTTGTCTTGTAGGGACCAGGACAGTACTTTTTCCGTCCGATGTTAAAGGAATACACCTTTACGCCACCTTCACAGGTCAGTTTCGGACATTTGTAATTTGTTCTTGATTAGAAGCGCCTCGTGGGCTGTTTTCCATCTGATATTCAACGCGCGCTCATGGGACAATTGTTAAATATTTGCTGTTCTCTACAGATGATTGATGTGGGCGAGGGTTCAACCGTTCAACTCCAGGTCAAAGGAAAAAGAGTTGCGTTTAGGTAAAAAAGGCTTTGTAGTGGAGCAATTTTCAAGTGGGTGTCAATAGTAATCTGTTTGGCAGTTTCATGACTCACGATTATTTCTTGGTCCCAAGCTCGCAACTAGACGAATAACATCTTTCCTTTTCTCGGATTGTTTGTGTTTTCCTTGCAGCTGTTTTGGGGTGATTTCCTCACTGAATGGAGAACCAGAGAAGGGTGTTGCTGTGGAGGTACGTGTTTAGAAAATTATTTATAGAATCTGATGCCAAGGAAATATGTTTCGGAGTTGTATTTTTGACAACCTGATTTTAAGAGTAATTTGTACCATCTTTTTTTTAGGCGATTGGTCTGGAAAGTTGCGAATCTTTTCAGGAAGAAACAGTTTCAGATCAAGAAGGACAGTATCGATTACGTGGACTTCAGGTTTTTTAAGAATTTGAAATTCTTGTATTGGTCGTGAGAGCGTAAGTTTGAGCGCATTTGGTTTTAAGTATCGTTCGACCAAAACCAAAACAAAAAAACTCGCCACAGCCATGAGAACCCAAGTCTGACATCATATGCAGTCAGTGAGGAATCATGGCAGCGGATAATCAACTCGCTAGTGGCTCGATTGTTTGAAATGTTGTGTTTTTAGACAAATTACAGAGCGAAGTGAAACAAAACCAATGCTTTCTCTCACTACTTGTTACACAAAGATTGCGCGAGTTGTTAAGTTCACTGTGAATAACGGAGACTGTTTACTTTTAGCCTGGCTGTATGTACAGAGTTCGAGTGAAGATCGGAGACAGCAATCCGCATATCGAGCGAGCTTCACCGTCATTTATCAATATACAGGTCAGGATTAGGATAGCTTTATTCATTCGTTTTCTTAGATTAATTAATATTTTTGGCAGAATTATATAGATTGCAAGCTACTGAGTATTACATTTGTAACGTGATTGGGATTGTGAAACTTAAGGTGTGACTAATTAAATGAAAGCCCCACTTCAATACTTCCTAATGATTTCATTTGTTATGTATAATTTAGCCTTAACTCTTTGCTCCGTGAATGGAAGTGTTAGCGAGCTTTATGTCTAATGTGCAAAAAATTCCATTAATCCTTCAGAGTTGTGAATGTCCGATCAACACTCGAAATTTGTGTGACCCCATTCAATTTAAAGCTACAACCTCGGACAAAACATATTGAGACATATTACAAAAATACCTATCTTTTTGCACTCACCCTGACAAAAATGCTTACAGTCGCAAATTCAAAGATTGTGTAATTTCCCCCTCCCCTATTGCAATGTTGTTTGCGGTAACACAAGAAATGCATGCTTGAGCTGTCAAGCCCCAACAACAATGTACCAGGGGTGGGGAGGGGGGAAAGTCTGATCCTTTTGGAGACGATTGTTGCATGGCGAGAAATTAAAAATTGGATTGAAATGTCTCAACAGTTTTGTCCGAGGTTGTAGCTGTACTTTCGAGTTCTTTTTTTTATTTATTTTTTTAATTTTTTTCCGAGTGTTACTCGTTAGTTAATCGCTACGACCACAGGAACTGAGTTAACCAGCATCGGTCTCCCATGCAGGATTGACCATTTTAACTTTAAAAATTTATCGTTTTAACGGGGAGAACTCGTCTCTTTTTGCAACAGGTGTCTGCAACAGATCTTCAGAATGTTAACATGATTGCCTTCCGCCATATCAATCAATTTGAAATCACGGGCAATGTGGTCACGGACAGTAAATTCGTTTCATCTCTAAAGGTAAGTCTTCAAATGTATTGCCACATCTCTGACGGTATTGTGAATTTTCGGGAACATCCGTTAGAGAAATCCATCTTGTAAAATTTTGCTCATTTTTTTTTTCAAATAGTGTTCGTTGGAAATCTCGGTCAGTCGTCCCTAACCCCTCAGCTGCAGGTGTTAATTTCAAGGGTTTATTCCACCTAATTATTATATGGCTGTGTCTTACAAGGACTGGGAACTACCGAATTCACCAATTTGATTGGCTGAAATCAATATTGAAAGCGGTCCAGATTTTCCCATCTATACCGGCATCAAGACATGTCTAGAAAAAAAAGGT